AAAGACCAAAGCCAGTTTTGCTCTGTCAAACCAAAATCTCAGATCTGTGAATATTGTCTCAGTTGACAGTCTGTTTTTGTGTTTGTGTGTTGTTTCTGTAACTACTAACAAGAATTGGAAAATCTTCAAAAGGCCTATTTTGATCTGTGGGAGGAAGACGTATTTTAGGAAGGCAGCACGAGTGCCCAAGTTTTTAAAATCATGCTGCCATTTCTGTCCAAAGAGTAAAGACATCCAAATATCTTGCAAACTTTGGTGACTTTTGGTTTATGATAAAATAGCATGTGGAATCTGATATATGACTTTCTTTTCACTAACGAGAGGCTCGGTTTGTGTCGATCGCTTGATAAAAGCGGCCGTGTTCTTGATGCCGTGTTAGTGATCAGAAATAAAATGAGTGAGAGAATCCTATTCCGCAGGAAACGTTTGCTGATTAACAAACCGGCTTATTTTATGACCCAAACAGTTTATTAAGAGCGAAACAGAGAACAAACCAATCTGTTTGTGATCGATTTTTCTCTATAATGTACGCAATGGATTGTTTTTCTAAAGCTTCGAGGCATTTTGGCTAAAACACAAAATGAATAATAGTGCATTTTTATCGCTTATTATTTCACGTTTTAAACAAGAACATTGTTTTTTAGCTGCTATAAACCACAATAATCGCAGGTGGGTTGAAATTGGCCCGGTGTTGAATTCTGCAGTTGAGAACTTTCTGTGAATGAATGAATCAATGAACAGGTCGAGTGTAGAAAATTGCAATCAGCGCTCCTCGAATTTTTCTTTTGTTTAGCAGCATTTTATAATTGATACCTTTTTCCGCACCTCTGTTTTGTATTGTGCTCTCTGGCAACGTTACTCCCTCAGGCATGTTGCCTCAGAGTGGCTCAGATGGGCCGTGTTCAGAGCAGGAATAGATTACAGCACCTCCTCTTTGCTGCCTACACTTAGTATTTTCTTGTAAATGGAAAACACACACCACCTGGTACTGTGGAGCAAGCCAGCAGCCTCTAAACCAGGCCCAGACACATATCTGGTCCTCTCAGCGTGCGGGGGCGGACAAACTCCTTTCCACTTGGTGAGAGTCTGAATGTCCCCTTACATATGTGTGAATTTCTGCAGAGAGCATCGTTCTCATGCATGCCTCTTTGTTCTCTCTTGATGAAGCCAATACAAGCAGCATATATGTTTCCGTCAGGGCAATAGCAATGAATTAAAAATAGTTGGCAGAATTCTCAAAACAAACATTTTATTTAAAAAATAATTGCAGAACTAAGCATTGTTTCCACAACTGGGGTAATTTTGAAACTTTAAAAATGCATTTCTTGAATAAGTTTCTTCTCACTGCAATCTTAAGGAAAGTCAGGTTTATTTTTTTCAATGCGTCAAGGTTTTTTTTAAATGTACTTTCACATCTACATGTCTACCTGGAGACACTTTGAAGTTGCAAATCAATTAAACTCGAAGGATTTCAGCACAATCACTCTTCTCAAGAACACAAAACAGTGTTTTCCTTCTTTAGCAAAGAAATGCAAACGTCTAAAATCAAAGACGAACCTCTGTGGTCACCATGTTTCGTCTCCGACCTCAGAATGTTTCAATATTGCTTCTTCCCCCAAACACAGCAAAGACAAACGACGGGGCAGGCAAAAGCACATTCCCAGCATGCTAGCTACTGTCCAGACATGATCTGAGACAACAGTCAGATCGAGCTTTCCACCCGCTTCAAAACGACGCTTTGTTGTAACACAGACAGATGGCCTGATATTACCCATCCTGCCTGTTTTTCCCCTTCATTTTCTTCCACATGCCCACTCGTTCATTGGACCGACAGGGCCCTGTTGCTTGCCATCTGCTTACCACGTTTGGTACTCAAGCATGTATTTCCTGCTTGGGATGTCTCCTGTTGTGGCCACCATTCATCCCAATTTGATGCTCTCTTGTCATGAAATGATTTCTCACCTCGAATCTTATTTGTAAAGTGTTTCGGCCCGAAACACTGTTGGCCATGCATTCTGACTTTTAGAGTAAAGCCACTCATGATGTTTACACTTGTAAAAAAAAAAAGAAAAATGTAGTATATGCTTATCTTTATCTGTGCTTAAATTAAGTTGAGCAGTTGTTTCATCTTTTGTTCAGACTTTTCTTGGAAGCCGAACAGAATTCGATCGATACCTCAGAGTTAGCAGGAAGAAGATATTTCACTTAGATGATAATCTGTCTCTGTCTTCATAGGAAGGCTTCTTTTCTAAAGGGACGTTCACAGAGTCTGCTGACAAGCATCTGGTCTTTGTGGCTCATACTTAAAAATCAGCGATTACATCTATTTAAGCTTAGTCATAACATATCTACTGTTGAAATGTCAAAAAACCAGAAAATATGCAGCTGATTTTCTTGAAGTTGCTGGTTTTCAAATGAAAAAAGAGGCTGTGGACTGTAAATTATTCAATATTTGTACCATAATCCATTTATTTTTATTTTCTTAGAATGTGAAGAATGAAAATATTTAATTTGACATCTATTAGGCAACACTGGAAAAAATGTGAATATGTTTATTAGTCAGTGGATTCTCAAGTAACTCAGTCAAGTTTGCAAGGGAGGTCAACATCCTTAGTTTGATTTTCCTGCAAAACACTTTACATCTCAGTGGATTTGTTTGTTCTCATGAGTAAAAAATTATTTTATCACTAAGGTTTAAAACGTTATAATAAATTGGCATTGTGCGTTTAATAGGAATCCTCATGAAACAGATGGGAATAATGGTAATTTGCAGCTTTAATGCTCAATCAAGCATAATTTTTTTCAAAGCATCAGTGTTTTTTCTCACACTGCTTTACTTCTATAATGACCATTTATCAGTCCCATCATCCAGGCTTAAAACTTTGACTCAAAATGTGTATTTTGTCAACAAAATGTAAATGTAAACACTCAGAAACTTTCTAAATTCCATAACAGGTGTTTTTGTCACAAGGTAAGAAGATGGAACCACCTAAAATCTGATATCGCCCGGTAAAAACTTTACAAAAACATAAAATCGGCACAAAATTCTTACTTCATCATTTATTCTCGCTCAGTGATCTTGTTAATAAATCTAATTACTACACCTTGTCTTTACAAGCAGTACAAAACAGTACAAACACACGAAACAGATCATTAAAGTTGTTTAATATTTAAACAGACGGTGAAAGGCGGCTTTCACGTTTCCCGACTTGGTTCCATTTTTAAGTCTCCCCTCTTGGATTTCTGCCTGGATGAAGTACGATCAATTACGAATACGATCAAAGAGCCCAAGAGATGCAGCTTCCTCCACGCTGACAGCAAGATGCATTCACACTGAAAGCAAACAGCTTAATGGAAAATTATCTCTTAACGACTAAATGGCATTTGAGTGATATTCTGAGTCATTCCTACTTTTTGAATTAACTTGCACACAATTTCCTGCGGCGCCACCAGATGCGAATGTTTGATCACAGAGGACAATCAGGGTACATGCTACATGGCTGTGGGTTGAGGAGCAACTCTGGATTTAGTTTGGTCAAGCATGACCACTAATGACATGTACTAATTAAAAGTCCCTACAAAGTCGTTGTTACCCGATGGTGGTAGCTTAACCCTGTCAGAACATTGAGAGCAGCATAATACATGAAGGGCCAAGACCCTCATGTTATGGAAACCTGCACAACTCCTGAATCACTCAAAAGGCAAAATGATCTGCAGAGATGTAAGCACACTAAGGGATTTCTCTAGTAGTTCTTGGTGCAGGAGAGGGTGAGCAGGTTTTTCAAAGGGTTTTGTTCGTTTGACACAGAGAGGTGTGAAAGTGAAACACACCAGCTGTAAATGTAACATTTGATTACAAAGCAGACTGGGTTCAACAACCCCACCAGAGAGCTGGGGCAACGCTTGGATCACGAGGTGAAAGCGAAACCTCTGATGAAGGAACATTTGAGGTGCTGTGACGCTACGCAGCCAGAATGACGGATGCTAAGAAAAAAGTGACGGTCTTTGTCCACATCAGCTGGAGACGAACCTTAAAAAGGTAGCAGCTGAGGGAGATAGGCCCATCTTTCCTGTCAGAGCATCGGCAGCCGGCCATTAGCAGCAAAGTGACAGCAGCAGCAGCATCGCTGACAAGAAGTGACTGGGCCCAGCATGGGAAGAAAGGTGGCTCTGGTGCTGGCCCATTATTGCAAGTGCTAGAAAGAAAAGTGAGGAGAATATGAGCAAACAAATGAAATGAAGCAATATCTCTATTTCATGCTGTCTGTGTCCACAAGTAATACTGAACAATATTCTTATAGACTTTACAAAGTGAAATGGAAAGCTTCAATCACATGAAAAGAAAAAAGATTAGATATATTAGCTATTTTCTCTTGAGCAATTTTTAAGGCTTATAGCTAAATTGTTCTCATTGCAAAGAACAACTTGGTATAGTTTCATGAAAATGCAATGAATACTAAATGCTCAACAGAGAAGAATGAAACTACGTGAGCTGCTCACATGACATTCTCTGCAAGTCCCTCAAGTCTCCGGCATAAAGGAGAAACATGGAAGGAAAATAAACAGGCATTGTCTGGGCAGACAACCACAAGGTCAAAGTTCACAAGCTACAAAGCGCTACATTGCTGTTAGGCGCCATCAGCAAATTTGTGTCTCTGTGGAATTAGAGATTCATTATAGATTCACATATTTGGTTATCCTGCTTTAACTGGGATACTATCAGCCACACTTTTGCTAAAATGTCACGTTTGTGTGATTTAATGAAGCTGAGATTCACGTCTTTAATGCAACACATACCTTGTTCAAGTCAACTGAAAAAATTGACTTCATTTTAACTAATTAAAAGAGGGAAAAATATAGAAAATAATTGGTTTGTTCTCTATAAACATTAACAAAAGAAAGCTTGAGGGTTTATGTGACACTATAAAGTTAAATGCAAAGACTATGTTACAAGGATTAATTGTCTCTTTACCAACAATCCTTCCATACTATTTCAACATAACTTTTTGAAACTAAATTCCATAATTTAGTTTTATTCTATTGCATACTAACGGTATACGGTGATACAATAGATAACTGGTTATAACAAAATCACATTGCAGGTGAAATGAAGCGTCGTTTCAACCAGCAAATGTGTCTTTACGTGTGTCTGTGTTGTTGGTTATTGGAGTCGTTGTTTTAATAGACCTTTATATTTAAATGAAACAATCAGAATATTGTTTGGATTAAATAAAGCTTAACACGCAGAAGGTCAAAAGACTTCCTTGGACATTTCTCAAAATCGCCCTCTGTTTGCTTCTTGCATGGCCTGTTTCTCATTCCTGGGCTTATTAATGGTTTTTAAAAATCCATCATAACATCAAATGGCAACAACCTCTAATCTCGTAAACTTGCAGCAGAAGATTTCCTCGACCAATTTTGTGATTTTTTTGCTAGAGAGAGAAGTTTTTAGCTTTTTTTTTTTTTTCCAATTATCGCTTGCTTGTTATATGTGCAATTCGATGCAGTTTTGCTCTAGTCTTTTTTTTGTGTGTGTCATATTTAGTTGATTTTACTTGGATAAACTATTATTAAAAATGACAAACAGTTTGTCTAAATGGTAAACAGAACTAAAAGGTACCAAATGCCAGGGTTTATCGCAAAGCGGTCTTTTGTTTTCGCTGCTTCGGCCTTCAGAGGCTCATGGTGTTTGTGCTCCTTGGCAGGTCATTTCTTCCAGCTGTCTGTTGGGACCCTGACAGCTTCTGAGAACCAGGATAAGGCTTTTTATCAGCAAACCGTCAGTCAACAAAACCCAAGTCAATGACAAGATCAGGCTCCCAAAAGCATTTACCTTTTGCTGATTCAAAGTCAGACGCAAACAAAAAAAACAACAATTAAATAATTCTTTCATCCCTTGCATCCAATAAAAAATGTTATTTAATAAAGAATCAGCGAACTCTGTGACCCTCCCATTGGTCCGAGTTCACAGATCTCTAACTGGACTCCTCAAAAAAACAGCTGCAGAGTAAGAAAGCACTACACCTCCAGTCAGATGAATTCCCAGCAGAAGCAGCATATTTGGATGAAATGAGAGGATAAACAGAACGCTGTGATGAGTGAGTGTCTGTGGGGAGAAGCCGGAACGTGTGCATGTGTGCGTCTGGGGAGTGTGTGTGTGTGTGTGTAATACGTGCTTCGTACCCCCCCCCCCCCCCCCCCCCCCCCGCACCCCCCCCCCTCCCCCCCCCTCCCCCCCCCCCTCCTGGAGGGTGG